AACATATCAGCCCGCCATCCAGAGACGCTCCAGTGGTTTTTTGCAACAGACTCCACATGCCTCCTACCAGACATCGGCTGTCTCTCATCCGTACGCAGCGGTTCAGCCAGCACCATATACGCCCTATCAGGCGAACCGCATACAAGTTCCACCGGGGACAGTGTACAACCCCAATGCCCCTCGTCCGATCGAAGTGTTCCATTTGAGCGATGCTGCTAATGCTACTATCCCGGAAGATATTCGAGAACAGTTTCATTGTGATAATCAAGGCCACGTGCTATTTTTCTCTTCGCCACCTCTGGATATTATACCTCCCCTCCAACAGAAGCTAGGCCACTCGCTCAAATATCTAGCAGTTAAAGAGGAGCGCCGGAAACTAGTCGAAGCGAAGAAGCGCAAGGAGGTGGAAGAGCGAGCCGTGCAAGACCAGAGAGTAAAGCGTCAGCGGGCTGACGAGGAAGCGTCGCTTGCCGTTAGAATCGAGTCTCTGACTATGAAGGCCATTGGCACCATGGCAGATCACATTGGAACCGGCACGGAGATGATCTATCAGATGATCTATCATGACCAAGCAGAAAAGGCAAGAGAAGCAAATTTCAGTGTCCTTGAGCAGAAAGTCCTTACCGACCGTATTGATAAGGAGAAGACTAGGCAAATTCAGGCGCAGTCGAGGAGAGCGACCTTTGTCCCCCTCAAAGAAAACATCATAAGCACGGACGATATTTGACCCTAGGTTTAATAAACAAGGAGGGGAATGAATACAAGCTGTCAATCCAATCTATCAATTGCTGGTTTCGCTTAATTACCCAACATAATGCAAGCCTTTGTTGATTTTAACCTCTTTTTCTTCCTTTTCTTTGCGTGGGACATGGCTTATTGAGTAGGCAGCTGATTCGGTATTCACCTTCATGCACCTAGCATGATTGATAGCCTGATGATTGATTGAAGCGTGGCCATTATCTTGGAAGGTTTTTGAGCATACAGCTCTACATAGATATCTTTATCAAACATTTCTAATGATGTACTATATACACAAAGCTGTGTAGATGATTTTGTGAATACCTTTGTAGGCATAAATACTGTGATATACATACACACTTTCCTTTGACAACCATGGTCACAGTTAAGGCAAAAAAAAACACATCATTGACTCGTAAAATTGAGCGGTTACATGAGGTGAGAACATTGCAAAGAAAAGATGGTTGAAGGTTGAGGGGATGAAAAAATGACAAAGCTAGAGTGTACATGCAATTAGCAAGCAACCAGAGAACATTCACTTCTTCCCTCTTGGTTCTTTGCCTTCAAATGCCATGTTGTGAAGTATGTGAAATGCCGGAAGGATCGGAAGATATAAAGAACAAAATAAACATGATAAGAATTATTGGCAGAATATTGAGCCTTTCCAATTCTCTGAAACTCCGACCACACCCTTGAATTATCCCAAACATGGTCTAAGCCAAAAATATGCAAGACGAAAGAAGGCTGTACAGAGATTCTCGAAGATCGCTTGTTTTAGTCGTTCTATGCGAAATGCCTACCAAATGTGGCTGAAGCCAGGCATTTCATATGTTCTTCAGTAAAACCCCATGAGCGAAGTCGTGGACTGGTGCCAAATTATGAAAGCCGCTTTCCTCATGTTTCCCCTGATGCAGCGTGGCTTTTGTTTACCCGATGAAAGATTATAACTTCTAATAAATTGGTGTTGGAATGGAGGACCATCAAATCCTAGTTTTGCGCTTTCGGAAAGGATATTAGGGCTGGAAGCCTGAGCTACTCGTCGGTGTAGAATCGTCATCGTGAGACTCAGCTTTACTGGTACTCCAGGAGGCGCTATTCCGTTTGTTGTTCTCTTCTTCTTCCATGGAGAAAACCAAGTCGCCTTGCTCCTCATCAATCCTGGTAGTACTGACGGGCGACGATACAGTACGGTCGAGACGGCCACTGGCTCCCACTGATGAAGAATGACGGGCAGCGCCAGGGTGAAGTGACATACCGCTAAGTTGTTGCGATATCATGGACGTTGACTGTTGCCGAGAAGGAGTAGAGACAAAGGGCGAGACGTCACCCGATGTTTGCCGGCTTCCGATGGGTCCAAGGCTGGGACTTGCGCCGAAGGTCAACGAAGACTCACGGAGAGGAGATCCGACTTGTGGTAACGAGGTGCCATGTGCATCCTCCTCCTTCTTCTGTCGCTGTTTCGCAAAAAGGGCACCAAATCTGGATGGGCTGGACGCCAGAGGCGAACCGACCTTTGAAAGGCTGGTACCAGTCATACCAAGCCCACTGAGATCACGATGACTTGAGCTAGGCTCATAATCTGTGCGTGAAAGACGTCGTAGCCGCTCCTGCGGCGTCAGCACATCGTCGTGCAGATTGATAGGCAGGTAGTCCTCCTCCATCGGGAAATTGCTGTCATCCCAATCATCTAAGGCGGTAAGCCGCGGAACACTCGCAGAGAGCATTCGTGGTTTCACCGACCGCTGTGAGTGCAAAAAGCGAGGTCCCGGGCCATCCTCAGGAATTCCAGGAGGGGAAGAACCCATGAAAGAAGGGGGCTTCCTTAAATCTGATCCATATGCGGTATCGCGGAGACTCCGGAGCGCATCGGAGGGGCCGCCGATTCTTTGGGCCGGCGGTGATAGTTCCAGTCCGAATTTCGATGGCATAGAAGCGGCTACCGGTCCATAACGAGCGGCGTGTGATATTCCTTGGCTATCAAAGGAGGCAGGGAGGGGTGCATCAAGTGCGGTTAAATGGCGGTGATTTGGGGACATGGGAAATCGTATGTCATCCATCGGAGAACCGTACTTAGAGCCGGCGTCTGAAGCCAAGCCCGCGTCGATGGTAGGAATGGCGTCATATGGTTGCTGTGGAGAGTGTATGGCAGCATACTCCTCTTGAGAATGAACTTGAGGGCCATACCGGGGCTCTTGGGCGTTCATTCTCTGTTGCGAAAGGACGGAATTCGTCAAAGCTGAATCTTGATTCACATACGCTTGGGGGTTAACTCTGCCACCCAAGTTGAGATGACTACCGCCCACCCCTACACCTGGATTGGGTCGATTAACCCGTCGGCCATCAGGGAGAATATGCGCCAGCGCACACTTGGCTCCGAACTTGCAGTTACCCTAGGACCATGGCACATGTAATCAGCCATATAAATTCCGCAGTAAAGGGAAAGGGTAACCCCAGGCATGAAAAGGTCAAGGTGTCGTCTGGGGGATCCATACCTTTGTGAAGTATTTACACGGCGCATAGTCAATCGCAGCATCGGTAGAATGTAGGAAAGGGCAGGCAGGTCCCGCCTGACAAGCTCCTTGACGAAAGAATTTGCAGGGGACATGCTTAGTATCTGTTGTCCGTCATATGTAAGTCAGCACTGGCCTTGTTTCGCAGGTCATAAGCTCCACATGAAGAGTGTCGTTGGCCTTCTTTATAGCTCAATAGGTACGGGGTAGAGTCTTACTGCTTTGATTGGGAGGGCTACGGGCAGCCATGTCAAGGCCTGAGAGATTGCGAGAATGGCCGTTCTGGATAGTCCCTGAGGGAACCGGGAGTGGAGCACGGTTTTTCATGTCACCTGAAAAGCGATTATGGGGACGGGGTGTGTGGGAAGGTGAAGGTTGTGAAGGAGGAGTATTGCGAGAGGCTGACACTTGCATGGCTGAGAGAAAGAGAAGGCGGACTACTGACTGGAAGCCCACAAAATCCGGAGGGGTTTACTATCGGGCGGGGTGGAGATAATAACGGTACTAAGAAAAGTAGTAAAATGAGAAACCTGCTTTCTGAGGGCGGTCAACATTGATAACAAGTGAATAGGAGAGGAAAGAAGGGGGGAGGGAGAAAAGAAGGGAAGAGAAGAAGAGAGACAGAGAGAGAGAGAGAGAGAGAGAGAGAGAGAGAGAGAGAGAAGGGTACTGACATGGAAAAGGTATATTAATATTGAACGTTGGTTAAATTGAGATTCGCAACTTTCATACAGTTAGCTTGTTGACACCTTGAATCTGAGGCAATCAACCCCGAGCATCCTAGACCACGAATTGCCGAAAGTGCTCGTACCTAGCAATTAAATAGAGGGGATGTTAAAAAAAAAAAAAGCAGAAGAAGAAGGCAAAAGAGAGAAAGAAATCTCTGCATATTTTCTCTTTACTAAAGAACCTATAAAAGACAGTCACCCAAAACATTGAGAATCTGTAGGCGGCCTCGACAGATTGTAATCCTCATGGGAAAGCCTTTCCAGCCCGATTGGTTTGCCCTCTGGAATAAATATTTTCTGCTAGGTATGTACTTTCTTACAGCCAACGGTACGAATTTGATACACTCATTGCGCGCTACAATAAACATTGGCGTAACTTTGAAGTCAAAGTACCTCCAAGTATATAATTTCAATATATTTTAACTAGGAGAATAGGTGAAACAAATAAAGATTACATGAAACACAACCACATGTACACTCACGCAATATGATATTTCTTTACCTCTACTCTAGAATAAGATCAATGGTTCCTTTTCCTCTCTTCTTCTTTCCCCTCACCTGATAAGAGTAAGGCGCACGACACTATCAGAAGCACAGATGATATACGAAGAACCCATAGGATTGTTATTAGAACTGTGGTAAAATATACTATCACAGACCGCGTGCGACGACCATGGCAGTTATAGGATGGTCTTCATATTTCGATGTCTATACATCTGACAATGCTTGGGTGGGACATAGCTTTCCTCGAGCCGTGTCCCAACTTGAACCCACTTGCTCCTCCATCATTTCATCGAATCGCCTAAGACTTTCAAGCGGAGAAACCCGTCGATCACACACCATCTGCCCACATCTATGCGGGCACCTGGTACATAGATGTACTGTAAGTATTCGCATTAGTGATATAAATCTATATGAGATGGTACGTTAAGCACCGCAACCTGGAAAGGAAACTGACAAGAGCTGGGGAAGGGCCCTCAATATTTTAGCTTGCCCCTCCATCTAACGTATACAAATGCTGTAATCAAGTGAGGATAGAAGGCCCTTCCAGCCCTAGGAATTCCTGTTCGTTACTGTGAGCAGTCTCAGCAAAGGCGATTAACCAGATACTCATACCCAGAGCTCTTCTCGAGTCACATCTTTATTCACCATCTCTAGACATCTTTTCCACAAATCGCGACATATCTGCCCCCGCAAATTAACACGCTTCTGCCAGCATTCCCTTGCTCTTTTGGTGACAGCTCTGTCTTTCTCATCCACCTGTCCCGCGCTGGTGCCCTGGGCTTGAGTCAGGATTGCGAGTGTAGTATCTTTTTCTACTTGAAGTTGGTTGATGCTCTCTTGAAGGTCAAAGGCCAAGGGTGTCGCACGCAGCGTCGTGAGCTTAGCTCGCGCCCTTTTCGCACAACCTCCGAGGTCAGTGAGCTGCTCCTGCAGCTGGCGAATGTGATCACTCAGAACCACCACTCCCTCCAATGCGTTTTCATCGGTCCCCTTCTGTAGAGCATGATAAACTGCCTGTCTACCTAAACTCGAAGTTAGTGTCAGTACTCCATGATGTTCACTCACCATCCACCCTCCCAAGGTGATACATGCATATCGGATTCACTAACCGGATGCTCTTCCTTCAATTTTCTGATTCAGATGTAGCTCTCGCAAGGCCTTTGCTGCATATGCTTCGGTGTGCGTTTTATTAAGAAGTCTTCTGAGGCTCAAACTTGGTATGGGAGTTTGCTCACTTTTGGTGACTTTGTTGTGTAAATTTACTGAAACGTCTGTGGCCTATATGTCATTAGCCGCGAGGCATTTGCCTGATAGGTCCTTCAGAAGCCACGTACTGAATAGGGACGACTGCTCTTCTGGGTTAGCTACAAGACTATCAAAGAGAAGAAGGGGAGATATGAATATCGTGTTCAGGTGCTCGATTGGACCCTTACTTCTGCTTACCTAGACTTGCGGGTGTGATGGATTAGTCTATCATGTTTCTAAGAAGGCCGGGCTATATAGGAGAAGACTGGGAGGAAGACTGGCTTACGGAGATAGTTCAGAACCAAAGTAAGCCCATCGTCAATAGCTGTATCGGGTCAGAGTTCTTCCTGTGAATCCAGGACCTGAGTGACAAACCCTTCTCACTTTGCCCCTTCTGTTTCATGCTGGTAATGGGAAGAAAATCGAGGAGGACCTACGTAAACAAGTCGAAGACAGGGAGGCAATGATGATGGTCATGCCACAAGCAGTTGCCACTACTACTCTGCGATACAAACTCACGAGCATCACGTGGACTATTCGACGAGAGTGAACACTCTTATGAAATATTTAGATAAGATGGTCCGGGACTCACAAGGCTGGGCAAAAAAAATAAATAAATAAATAAAACAAAAAAAATACCTCGACAAAACATTCAACTATTAGCAGCGAGATTATCCCAAATATGTTAACCAAAGGGTTGTAAGCTGACCGCCAACTAGAATGCAAGATCACAATAGAAGACTCGGTACAATTAAGAAGGCCTAAGTAAACGAAGGGGGAATTCAGCTTGCCAACCACATATTGCCCCTGCTTTATCTCGAATTTCTTTTCGCTATCAAAGTGCACGATGATGAACCGAATCCTCTACCATCCCTGTCCGTACGCAACTTTCCAGATAAGAAACAAGTGAACTATGGTGCAGAGTCTACGACTCATGGGTATCACATGACGATCTATGATGGAGTCAGTTTTCGTAACATAATAAATAGCCAACGAAAAGGATGAAAAGCATACGCAATCATTGTCCTTTTGTGCAGTCGGAACTCCCATCTCCTCAAATGTTTTTGGGCCTTTGCCCGGTAGGCCGCCTTGAGACTTGGCTGGCTGTGCTGTAGGCTTCTGGCCGACTGAGGCTGACACGGATGATGGTTTTGGTGTTCCCGAGGATGCCAAAGGTGCACTTGGAGGCGGCATGGATTCACTGCGCTGGGGAAACGTTGCAGAAGACGGTGAGGCCACTGGTTTCGGGGAGCCTACAGGGCCGCCTTGAGCAGAAACAGGCGTCCTCACGGGTCGTCTATCAGGCGGTGTGCTGTCAAGGCGTTGTGGGCGTCTTGAGTTTGGAGAATCAATCGGTGCAGAGTAGCCAATATCTAGCTTGGGTGTTGCTGACGTGGGGCTTGCTGGACCGCTGGTGGTGGGTGTGACAGGGGCAGGAGAGCGATACCCCATTGGCCCAGGTCCATAAGATGCCGCACGGTTATAGTTAGGAGCGCTGCTGCGAATGTTAGGGTTGATGCCAAATGCTGAGCTTGGCCGTGGGTCAGGCACCGAGTAGCCTGGCGGGTACACTGGCCGAGCCCTGGAGGGTGGCCGGTCGGGGTACGGAGCACTTGGCGGGGGGTTATCTGAAAGACTCATCCGTGAAGGATCGGGCATTTCAAGATTCTCCGAAGCCGATTGCATGGATTCCTTCCGCTGGTGAGAGCCGTAGCGTGACTTGATCCGAGCGATGGCAACCTGCTCATGATCCCTTCGGGACAACGTCTTCGAACGTGAGATACTGTCGATTCGACTGGTAGCGTCTTTGTTTCCGTTTGCCGCAGCCTTGGCATACCAGCTTCTGGCTTCCTTGATATCAACCTGAACGAAGATACCGACTTCGTAGAAGTATCCCAGGGCAAATTCCGCAGTTGGGAAGCCGCTCTGAGCTGCACGCTGAGCGTATGTGAATGCTAACTCGTCGTTCTTCTCGAAGACACCCTCATGTCCACAAAGGAACCATTTACTGATGGCCATTTCTGCTTCTGGCTCTCCTTGTCGGGAGGCCAATGCGTTGTAATGCAAAGATAATGCCGGGTTAAAGTCGCAACCTAGTTGACACAGTTCATATGCGGCGCCTATCTTGACTTGGGCCTTAGCAAATCCGTGGTATGCAGCTTTCTCGATATTTACGCGAGCAGCATTGACGTCAAGGGGAAGGTAATTCTCTGGAACGCTCACTTGGGGCAGTTCCCGTGCCAGAAGCATGCCATAAACCTGCAGGACACCAAGTCAGATTGAATAGTATGTAAGTATATTCTGAGGAACTACACACATAGGCACCCTGAGGCGCATTCTCGTCGCAAGATTGCGCAGCTAGCTGGATATAATCAAGGCCCGTTTGATAATCTTGACGCTGTCCGTGCTGGCCCAGTAAGATCATCATCCCCAGACGCTATATCCTCAAGCAGTTAGCGCATGCCGTTAAAGTTAAATGATGGAGGTGTAGCATACGTAAAAAGAAGCAGAATCGGCAAGAGCAACACCTTTCTCGTAATGCCGGATGGCTTTTTCGGGTTCACCAGAACTCTCGAACTGCATCCCCATGCGATACTCAGCCCTGGCATAGCCTTTCTCCGCAGCTCTCGAATAAGCTCTGAATGCTTCCTTTTTATCAACGCGATATCCGAATTTTCCGAATTCCAACCACATTCCCTTGATGAATTCAGCTTTGGGATGGTGCTGATCGGCCAAGAAATTGACGATGTTCATCGCATCAACCTTCAACTGATGCTCCACTTGCGGGGTCTGGGGACGCGGGGGTTGGATTAAAGATAGACGAGCTTCATTCTGGACGGCGACTTCGACGTAAGTTAGGGCGTCCTGGGCCCAAGCCAATTGCATTTCGGGGTCATTGGAGGAGAGTACTGCCATCCGAGCCCTCTCCAAGCTAGCTTCTCTCTGCTCATCGGTGGGGGGCACATTTGGAGGGGGGTTGCGTAGGAGGGGGAACGGCGAAAAATTAGGAGATTCCATGGTATCGTAAACGGCGGATTGCTCGTAGTGGGCAGTGTCCTCGTAGCCGGCAGTGATGGGCTGTCCCTGGACTACAGCGGCAGAAGAAGTTCTCTCGGGAAAATGAGACCGATCATATTGTACAGGAGCATATTGGCTCCGATGAGGGTTTCGAACCTCATGCTCGAGGTGGGCAATATTGTCCTGCATAGTCTCCGGAACTTCAGGCATGACTCTGCTGGTGAGATAAAGTGTGTCCAGATTAGCAACACACCCATCCACTGTAGGGAGGTGAAAAAAAAAGGCCAAAAGAAAAAGAAAAGGTAGAACAACACAAACAAGATGCTAAAAAGCAGGCGTAGCTGTGGAAGAATTCCTATTTCGGTTTATGTCTTTCTTTCTTTCTTCTCCAAACCAACAACTGGATGGGGCTGTCTTACCTTTGGGGAGAAGGGGATATAACTTCTGGCATGTAAAAGTCATCCTGGCCCCCTGGATACCATGTAGCTCCCAGCCTTGGCTGACCGCGACCTTGTGGTGGTCTATTCATTGTCGGTGTATTTTCTTAACTTCCTCTTTAATAATCTAATTATTCCCTTCTTTTCTTTGGGAGGTTTTTTTTTTTTTCCTCCACCCCCCAGAGCAAGACAAATGATTTAAAAAGAACTCTCCGGACTATTGAGCTTTTCTTTTTCGTTCTTGTCCTTTGTTGGCCTTGCCAATTATTTTGGGTTTGAGAGTCAGACTAGAGCTAATAATACGATTAGGCTCTCCAGGCTCAACGGTTCTTCGGTACGTAATCAAAAAGAGAATAGAAAGAAAATAAAGAGGGCCAACTGTGGGGGAAGTTTTATTGCCGAAGAGCCCAGGTAAGAGAGAGACTTCGTTGGATAACACGTTGAAAGAACCACAAGGGACCTGCTCATTATCTAGCGAAAAAGCGACAAGCACCAGGAAATCCACTGGTGACAAGTATTTACCCAGTGAGAGCTGTCAGACGAAAGAGCGAAAACTAAATGGGGGATGGGGGAAGAGATGGATGAGGGTCCCGAGTGTTGAATCAGAGACGTATCGTACGTACCTTCGTATGGGTTGAGTGGGGTAAGAAGAATTGATAATTAATTACTATATACTCCGTACTCCGTATTGTATTTTTTACTTTCGTTATCCTTTCCCTCGGCAACTACACCAAATATTAGCGTTTACTCCGTAATGTACCTATACTATTAAGATAGATATGTCCTCCGACGGTACGGAGTACTGTTAGACGGCAAACAAGTCACTAATTTGTTTCTGTAGTAAAGAAAGTGCTTTAGTCGCGAGACATGGAAGATTTATTAAGGTAAAAAACAAAAAAAATCTGTGATAGAGAGAGGGAAATGCCGGCGTACCTGGTACTCGTACCTATGTATAGTACATATTACAAACCCCACTACTTTGGTCCATACAATTGGTGACCCGAAGGGTAAGTAAGAAACAAAAAAGAACTGGACCCTCATGTACAACTGACGCCATTGCTCGACACTAGACCAGTACATAATCATCTATCAGATAGAGATAGGTATAACATGGGCAAGTTCTCTGTGACCCCGTTTTTGATTAATTAATCGCTTTCTGAAACTGCTACTCCGTACAAAGTACGGAGTACTCAAGAGCAAGATCTGTGTTTTATCTCAAAAGAAAAACCTTGACATTTCTTGGCATATGACTGATTGCCTGAGGATTCATACCCCGAGTATTTATTGCTTCTGGAAAGAAGCAACTTTCGGAGACCACAATAACAGCTCTTCCGCTCTTTCCAGCCTCCATTGAAAACGTAGTTTTCCTTGTGTGCCTTTAAGTTCCGACAATGTTATAAACTTGTGTTATCATGGATAGGTACAGTAGTAGGTATATGGACTATGAAGTTTATGGAGTACTACGACGCCGGAGGTACTAGTATTAATCGTACCGCCCCCATTTTCACCTCTTTTTATTGGGCATTCTACGCAGTAGTGCTTCCATAACCCACATCTCACCCCTCCCCCCTTTTGCTTTTTTCCCCTTCTCCTTTTCGTTCCCCTTTGCCCCTGCTCCTTTTCTCCTTTTTCGGCTAGTTGATAGTAGGCGTATCGTACAATAGACCCATACTGACCTTGAGCCTCTGATCTACTAATACCTGCTGAATGTGACCGCTATCCCCTTCAAGAATCATGGAACTCCAGGCAGAAGAGTTCCACCACCCTTATTCGCCATATGACATTCAGCTCCAGTTCATGCGGGCGTTGTACTCTTGTATCGAAAAGGGTAAAGTGGCTGTCTTTGAATCTCCCACTGGTAAGTTGGCTTTCACTTTGAATTGAGGCTCTTCCTTCTGACTCCCCTGGTGATAGGCACTGTGAGTTAAACTTTGGACCAGTTGTTGATTCTACTTGCATTCTTGCTGGATATCTGTCGTTGTAGAAGTAACGAAATGTAGATTGGCGGAAGACCTAAATATCATACTGACAATAAGCACTTGTTCAATTACTGAGACTTTTCTGCATTAGGGAAAATCTTTGAGCATAATATGCGGCTCATTGACTTGGCTACGAGATCATAAACGCAAGGGTTTCCATAAAACTGTCAACAACAGTACATGTTAGACTATCATTTGGGCACTACAGGAATCTGGTCTAATACGTAATCTCGCAGGTGACGACGGTGAACCGGAATGGATGCTGGAGTATGCAAGACGGGAATCTAGTCGCGCTATTTCGGAGAGGAGGAAGGAACTTCAGACACGATTGGCAAAAGCAAGACATATAGAGGAGAAGCAGAAAGTTGCTTTGGAGAACTCGAGCGGACCACGCAAACGACAGGTATGGTAGCTACCAGTCTCTTGAGTAGGCAACTTCCTTGCTGAAACGCCGGTTCAGAAGTTCGATATACCTTCGAGAGCTTCAGATGTGCAGACCGAGGATAATTTCGCCTTGGATGATTACGATAGCGAAGACGAAGAGAAGCGTTCCTCACGGAGACGGAGTGATTATTCAAGTGGCCTTTCCAGTGGCACACTAGAGTTATTGGAACGTTTCCAACACAAATCCTCAGCACATCCCAGACAAGACGAAGATAATGGGGATGAAGATATCAAGATATTTTACTGCTCGAGGACACATTCCCAATTGACACAATTTGCAAGCGAATTACGAAGAGTCAATATACCTTCGAGCATACCGAAGGACTTTAGCGAAGGACTGGCGGGCGCAGATGGACTCCAGGAAGGTGTAAGGTACTTATCTCTTGGGTCTCGGAAAAATTTATGCATAAACCCTCAAGTGTCTTCCCTGAATAATGTAACAGCAATCAGTGAACGCTGCTTAGATATGCAGCAGCCAGGTGTTGCTGCAGAACAGAAATGTCCGTTTCTCCCGTCAAACGAGAATGAGGCGCAGGTTTTACAGTTTCGGGATCACGTACTAGCCACGGTGAAGGATATTGAAGATATAGGGAAATTAGGGAAGAATATTGGAATATGTCCCTACTACGCGTCCCGCTCGGTCACCAAGCATAGTGAGGTGGGTTGCTCACAGAACCTGTTTGCTGGACACCCGTTGCTGATACTCAAAAGATCGTGACGCTTCCGTATCCCTTGTTGCTTCAGCGGTCAGCTAGAGACGCTCTTGATCTATCAGTAAAGGGCCATGTCGTTGTTATTGACGAGGCTCATAATTTGATGGATGCTATATCCAACATCCATTCGGTAACAATCACACTCGCAGAGCTGCAAACTTCTCTATTCCAGTTGACAACATACGCACGAAAGTTTAAGACTCGACTAAAAGGAAAGAACAGAAACTATATCGCACAGGTTATCCGACTTGTCACTTCGATCACTGGCCATCTCAAAACAATTCTCGAAAGAAATCAAGCGCTCGAAGGTCCTGTCCAGCCATCAGACCTCATGTCTGGGAAAGGTGTCGACCAGATCAACCCTTACAAGCTATGTCGCTATTTGCGTGAGAGTAAGCTAGCGAGGAAGGTGGATGGGTATGCCGAATTCTCTCGAGAGCGAGCAGACCGCCAAGCAGACAGAAAGCCTTCAACGCCGGTCCTATTTCATATACAGAGCTTTCTCCTACCATTGATGAACCTTTCAGCAGAAGGGAAATTGTTCTTTACGAAGGCCCAAGGTGATATTCAGTTAAAATATACGCTCCTCGATCCAATGAATCAATTTCGCGAAATTGTTGACGATGCAAGGGCTGTTATATTAGCTGGCGGAACTATGTCACCTGTATGTTAGTTTTTAACTAACATGCCCTTTGCTCATTAGTTGACAAGGCATACAGATGACGGACTACGTAAACCATTTGTTCCCATACGTGCCATCTAGTCGCCTGGGCACCTTCAGTTATGGTCATGTCATTCCTCCAGAGAATTTGATCGCACAAGTTCTAGGTAGAGGAATTACAGGTACAGAATTCGACTTTACCTTTGATACACGGGATTCAGAACGGATGGTATGGATTCTTAGTTGAGGTGACCCTTTTATTTCTATAATCTAACACATGCGTCTGCACAGATAGTTGACCTGGGACGAACTATAGCTGCCCTATGCCAGGTTATTCCGGATGGCGTCGTTACCTTTTTCCCAAGTTATGACTATCTCAGTCGAGTTTTGGGCATATGGAAAAGACCCCTTGCAGGAGAGAAGAATCGTACTGTCTATGACTTGATTGAGCGGAAAAAGACTATTCTGCATGAGTCACGAGATATGACTATGAGCATTGAAGAACTCTTGCAAGAATATGCAAGTGTTGTCGGATCAGGAGGAGGGGCTCTACTTCTTTCAGTGGTCGGTGGGAAGCTGTCAGAGGGTATCAACTTTTCTGACAGATTGGGGAGAGGTGTGTTGATTGTTGGCTTACCATTTCCAAATATACGCAGTGCAGTTTGGCAAGCAAAGATCCAGTATATTGAGCAAAAAGCCTACAAGGAGAGCTCGGGCTCCGAGGCAAGCCGGCAGCTGATCGCAAAAGCTGCGGGAAAGGATTTCTATGAGAACTCTTGCATGCGGGCAGTCAATCAGTGCATCGGGCGAGCTATAAGACACCGTAATGATTATGCTGCCATCGTTTTGATGGACAGACGTTACGATAAACCCGCTATACAGGGGAAACTGCCCGCTTGGATCAAACAGAGCATGGCGAGCAGTCCCGCCCTGCAGCCAGTTGGAGCAACAGTAGGTAGTCTATCGAAGTTCTTTGTGGCACAAAGGACCAGCCAAACATAGTGGATATTACTTTATACTTTCTTTATATGAAAAGTTCTTCCTTAGTAATTATTGGCCTCCAATCTTTTCCAGTACTGCATACAGTGACGCAGATCACGTGATGGAATGCCAAGCCAGGCAGGGTTGACCCTACTTAGGGCAAGCGAAGTTAGCGCACAATCTAGAGCCGCCGCCTCCAGGCCTTGATTTCAACATCTGAGCGACCAGCACACACGATCGCATCCCCAATCGCCAAACACTCAGACCGGTCTTGTCGAGCACACCACCGTCGACAAGATGCCTACCCGTTTCTCGAAGACAAGGAAATCGTGAGTCGAAAAGCTCTTTCTTTTATCGCCTAGTGTGGTCGAACGTTCTTGTTTGTCGTGGTGAAATGCGACAAACTAATACCCCATCCGACTCCTATATCGAAACTTTGCAAGATTGGGACAAGACGAAGCTGACCTGTTTCTCTCTCCTATAGCCGCGGTCATGTGTCCGCCGGTTACGGTCGTATCGGCAAGCACCGTAAGCACCCCGGTGGTCGTGGTATGGCCGGTGGTCAGCACCACCACCGTACCAACCTCGACAAGTACCACCCCGGTTACTTCGGTAAGGTTGGTATGAGGTACTTCCACAAGACCAACCAGCAGTTCTGGAAGCCTGTGATCAACCTCGACAAGGTACGTGAAGTTACGAACATTGCCGTAGACAACAGTGGACGGAATAAAAAGGAGGATCGGCTTGACGCAATGTATTGTGTGGCGTGAATAACAAATGATGCTTCAAAACAACGTGAATCAATTGGCAAGAATGGAGGAAGCAAGAAATTTGCCATGGCTGTGATGAACATGTAACTGATTAGTGAACTCTTGGTTTAGCTGTGGTCCCTTGTTCCCGCTGAGCAGCGTGACGCCTACGTGAGCGGCCAGAAGACCGACACTGCTCCCGTCATCGACCTTCTTCCTCTTGGTTACTCTAAGGTTCTCGGCAAAGGCCGTATCCCCGAGATCCCCATCGTCGTCCGTGCCAGGTACTTCAGCCGGGATGCTGAGCGGAAGATCAAGGAGGCTGGTGGTGTTGTTGAGTTGGTTGCTTAAATGTGGATTACGGTGCTACCTAGAGAAGGTCAAGGTGCTACGCTGGCTGTGATCGGCGTAATTGAGGCTCGGTTTCTCGAGGGGAATAATGACTCGAACATGGGAGCCGCGGATCGGGCACAGGGATCCGTGTATTTACAAAACCAAGGGTTTTCGTTTGTGATGAGCATAGCATAGCCTCCGGACACCCTTACGATCTCACTATCTCACAAAATACCATAAAGGAGGATTTCTTTTCGCTTTTTCTAAACCTAAACCTATCCCAGGCGATATGACCCTTGGAGACGATGTTATAAGATTAAGGCAGAACCTTACCTCTTGAAGTTCAGAAATGAACCCTTCGTGGTTAGCTGGGTAGTTGCTGTAACGCGTCTAAACCAGGTAGCACCGCTTGGAATTACACTTCATGTTTACACTTATCTGCTGTTATATCCACCGTCCCCATATGGATTAATATCCGTGGGCAAGACCGCTTCCTTCGAGGGGCGGGTGCATGTTAGTACAGGGATGCTGATAATAGATGATATTGATTAGGATCACATTGCCTATCGTTGTACACTTAACTCGCTCTATACTTCAGTTATATCTTGGATTCACGAACAAATCCAGACTTTATTGAATCCTCGTCAGTGGCTGCGAGAGCATCACTAATGAACCGCACTGCTTCGTCAACCATCTTGGGTGTCACCTCATGCGCCGCGCTCTCATCAATAACATCTTCTAGAGTCACCGCACCATTGGAAAACCAGCCGTTGGGGGCAACTGCTTGTTTCAGCCAAGATAAGAAGGCCTCTCCTCGATGGTACGGAACCAGCTTATCCACACCGCCAGAAAGATTAAGTATCCTTTTGCCTGCTAGGCAGCGGGCCAACAGCGGCTGTAGAGCCTGCTTCTCTTTCTCCGTCGGCTCCGGCAAGGTAGGGGTCCGCAGAGGCTCGACACTCTTCTGCGTGTCCAAATAGCTCAAGAACAGACTGGCCGGGTCATAATTACGGACAGTGTCTAGGAGAAACTCAGGAAATGCCTCCGAACCCAAGAACTGGGAGCCCGGCGGGTCACTGTTTGTCCATGCTGGGAGCTTCGACAGTCTCGCACGATCAGCCATGAGATTTACATAGTCGGGACAACCAATGATAACAACACCGGTAGTAACGCGCGGTTCGTGTAGAATACAGCTCCACGCTGCATGTCCACCCAGGGAAACACCAAGTACGAGGTTTTCGGTGATCTTGTGCTCGGAGTGAGGAAACACGAAAGATGGGAGATAATCGATCAAAAGGGAAACATCCCGTGCAGTGCCCTCTACATTCCAGATGAATCAGATAGGGGAATTTTCATTTTGGAAATGCTGAGCACTCACGAAAGATGGAAAACATGTCCTGCGCATGGCGAGGGTTGCCCTGTTTCCATGCCTCATTTCCAATAGGATCAACCAGCCTTGTGCCATGATTTCGCTGATCAAATGCGACGGCGATTAGGCCTTTTATAGACTGGCCATTATTGGCATGGCTGGTATTCATTCGGTTATTCCAGTCCGTGATGGCTGCTATAGCAATCCCCGCCATCCTTTCTTTAGTTGCTAGTCTGGGGTGCAATAGCCAAAGGCACGCAACCTCTGAAGCTTGGGCAGGTAACTCATTTAAACCAAATACCGTAGTAAGTATTCCCGCGACTGGATATGTTTTTTGCGATACGGGCGACGAAATCGAGCGGGGTGCGGCATCTAAAGGTTTCAAAGGGTCTGCCATTTCTCTTTCTCTCTCTTTCCCTTCCTCTCTATTCCTGTACGTTCTTTCTGTTGTTACGGTATATTGAGGTGAGTTGAGAAGGTAGAGGAATAGCGCGAAGCTGAGTCCCAAGGTCGAGGGGCAACAGTCGAAGTGACCTTAGCCTTATATTGTGGAGTTCAAAGCCAAGACCTCGGAGTTCAAGTAACCTAGGTAGACAACGGAGCAAAGCCAGTGGCTGTTTCTCTTCACCAGCCACAATATGTCCCGCTTGTTTATCCGTGCTGTTAACATACAATTATCAAGTTCAAAGTTTACCTCTTAATCCTCTCTTACAAGCAACTTCTGGTCTTCTCAACCCTCCCCTTTTATTTTACAGAATATAAAGGGGAAAAAAAGAAGAAGAAGAAGAACTAAATCCTTTAGAAATGATCAAAATTTGCTTATAGCCAAAGATCCAACTGCTCCTTTTGCATCCAGACTTTCCCCTTCCCAAGTGCCCACGCTAAAGCGGGCCCTCTGTCCCCAAGTCGAATTGGGATTAATTATGGGTCAGACTCCACTGCGGCTCGGGACTATTTGTGTTTTAACACCAACGCTCCTTTTGGGTTCTAACGCCGCCCCAGCTTGACAGTTACCCCCTAGGCTTATTGTTCAAAATAAATCACACCTTCGGACAGCGTTACAATGACTTCATCGTGAGGTTTCCATGGTCAGTTTTGACAGGATCATATTGATCCTTATGTAGGCTCATTGTGCTCCCCCTGACTCCACCCGTACTGAACTAACATCGCTTCGTTCTTAGTACGCACTATGACCGAGTCTACAGTCCATCCCTCAGAATTGAGGGTTCCTGAAAACTCCTCTGATCGGCTCGCCCCCGGAAAGCCAGAACCACTTGCTCTATCGAGTGGTCCAAAGCTGTCTTCACCTTTCCCTTCTCCTACTGGTACCATTAGCACTGAGTATTCGCCTTCAGACAATCGGGAAAAGGCGGAGGCTGCTGTCGAAGAAGATCAACGGAGAGCGAATCCTATCGTGGATGAAATTGGAGGTGAATCACATATAGGGGAGGCCAACGGCTCCTGGGAAATATGGGATAGCTTTCCCAGAGTTAAACCAGCATTTCTGAACCCTCAACGACCGAACGAGTCGCTCGACAACCAGCAGAAGGCCTTCAGCCAAAAATCACAGACATCCCATCATGGGCTATCCTCGCGGCGTCCAAGTGTTCAGTTTACCGGCGAAGCCACTGAGAACGATCCTCTTGCTGATCCTGCCCGATCAAGACCTTCTTCTGTAGCAGGGGATGATGTTGATGCGGATCTGAAGGGCAAGCAATCGATCTTTGGCAAGCTGAAGGCATTTGCAGCCTCCCCATCATTCGCCTCTCATTCCCGCTCGGCTAGTGCTGCAACAATCGGGGATGCTAGACATACCAACCATGATCTCACTACCCCAGGCTCGGAAAGGGGGGAGTTCCGTTTCCCCAACACGCTAGAAGAGGAAGGGAGCGATATTGATGCTGATGCTGAAGAGAGCGCGGGGGAACAACAAGTCTGGCAGAAGCAGCAGCAGAAGAAGAAGAAAAAGAAGCAGCTGCGCCGTCGACAAGAAAGTGACTCTACACCCCAAACAGAACCGAACACACCGAAAGCCTCGGGTCGGCCCTCCTTTCACTTGCCTAGCTCATTTGGCCCCTTTGAAAACTATCGTACGAACTTCTTTCCACGACGAAATAATGGAGACTACGCGCAGCAGCGTGAAGGAGTGTCAGAGGATGAGGGCCGGGATCGCCTTAATCGTGATAACGCTTGGCGGCGGAGAAGCGCCTGGCTTGCTAACACTCGCGCGCTTAATTACGGGGGACGGCAGATTGACTCTCAACCGAATCAGGATGAGAGACGCCCTAGTAATCTGAGGCGGCTTACTGGCATCACAGGGCCGTCGGAAAACGTCGAGAGTCTTGGGGCTCCCTGGAGGCGCCATCGAGCCGAACGTGGTTCTAGCCTCAGCGCTCAAAGATGGCGGCAAATTAAGGCCGGATTGAAGTTGATTGGACAGCGACGTAAGACCGACAACACAGTTGACCATGCGAAGTCAGCCGAACTGCTAGCCGAGCTGACCTCGGGGGTACCGGCCGCCCTAATTCTGGCTAGCATGTTTCAACGTGATGAGCATGGCAGCAAGCGCATTCCGATTCTTCTTGAGCAGCTCAAGGTTCGAGTAACGGATAGTAGGATCGATTCTCATTCTGGAGATCGCCACCTTGTTTTCAGGATCGAACTGGAATATGGAAGCGGCATGACCCGGATGAAGTGGATTATTCATCGAACGCTGAGAGATTTCGCAAATCTTCATTTAAAGTACAAATTACACTTTGGAACGCAAAAATATATCCAACTGCGAAACACTGAAGGGGCACAGAATCTTCCACGTTTCCCTCGAAGTGCATTTCCTTACCTACGAGGTGTTCGAGGCTTAGAAAGTGATATGGAGGACGAAGAAGATGATGGTGGCTATGAAACCACAGCCGACGCGACAAGTGGCAACGAGAGAGCTGGGAAGAGGCAGCAGTCACGGCGGCGATCGTCCGGTAATATATCCCGGCGACAGTCGACTGTAACGAACCCTGATACAGAAAATGCTGCTGGTGCCTCGGGCGCAGCAGACGCAGGACCGAGCAAAAAAGAGAGTTATCCAGAGAGACAAAGAAAAAAACTCGAATCTTATTTACAAAAGCTGATTCGGTTCCTTATCTTTAAACCTGATAGCAACCGTCTGTGTAAATTCCTGGAGCTGTCGGCCTTGGGTGTGCGCCTTGCTGCTGAAGGGAGCTATCATGGCAAAGAGGGGTATTTGATCATACAATCCTCGAAAGGTCTAGATTTCCGGAGGGCCTTGACTCCTGCCATGGTAAAGAGCCGTCATTCACCAAAGTGGTTCCTAGTCAGACATAGTTACGTCGTTTGCGTTGATTCCCCCGAGGCAATGAATATCTACGATGTTTTCTTGATAGATCCCTTCTTCAAGCTGCAAACTCAGAAGATCAGTATCCGAAACCAGAAAGCAAAGGAGCTGGCAAAGTCGGCAAAAGAGTCGGCTAGGCATCCGCAACATCACACCTTGAGACTTGAAAATTCAGAGCGGAAACTCAAGCTCCTGGCCAGGAACGAGCGCCAACTTCATCAGTTTGAAGATTCTATTCGGTTTATGGTCAACAATACCCCCTGGGCAAGGCCAAATAGATTTGAAAGTTTTGCTCCAGTGCGCCACCATTGCTTCGCTCAGTGGCTAGTTGATGCTCGGGACCACATGTGGATGGTGTCACGGGCGATCAACCAGGCTAAGGATGTCATATACATTCATGACTGGTGGCTTAGTCCCGAGCTCTATATGCGGCGACCAGCTGCGATCAGCCAGAAGTGGCGCTTAGACCGCCTTCTCCAGCGAAAAGCCCGCGAGGGCGTCAAGATATTTGTCATCATGTATCGAAATATCAACTCTGCCATCCCAATTGACTCGGAATATTCCAAGTTCTCCCTTCTTGATCTGCATCCCAATATCTTTGTGCAGAGATCTCCAAATCAATTTAGGCAGAATACTTTTTTTTGGGCTCATCATGAGAAGTTGTGCATAATAGATCATACCTTGGCTTTTGTAGGAGGTATTGATCTTTGTTTTGGAAGGTGGGATACGCCACAACATCTTCTCACGGACGACAAACCAACAGGATTTGAAGCTGCAGATGGACCTAAGGATGCTGACCACTGCCAGCTTTGGCCTGGCAAAGACTATTCGAATCCACGTGTTCAGGACTTTTACGATTTAGATAAACCGTATGAAGAAATGTACGATCGAAACGTCGTCCCTAGAATGCCCTGGCACGATATATCGATGCATGTTGTCGGCCAACCGGCTCGGGATCTCACTCGCCACTTTGTCCAACGATGGAATTACATACTGCGTCAGCGAAAACCAACTCGGCCCACACCATTTCTGCTTCCCCCGCCTGATTTTGACGCAGCAGATTTGGAAGCTCTTGGCCTAGACGGGACTTGCGAGGTCCAGATCTTACGATCGAGCAGCGCATGGTCCACTGGTACGTCGGACCTTACTGAGCACAGCATCATGAATGCCTATGTCAAGTTAATCGAAGAATCGGATCATTTCGTCTATATCGAGAACCAATTCTTTGTGAGCACCTGTGAGATAGACGGCAGGAAAATCGAAAACCTGATAGGCGATGCTCTGGTAGAGCGGATTACTCGCGCTGCGAAGAACAAAGAGGCATGGCGTGCTGTTATCGTCATTCCACTGATGCCAGGCTTCCAAAACACGGTAGACAGTGAGGGTGGGACAAGTGTCCGTTTAATCATGATGTGTCAATACCGTAGTATCTGCCGGGGAGAGACATCTATATTCGGACGACTCCGAGCTTTGGGCATTGAACCTGAAGATTACATCCAATTTTTCAGCCTGCGGGCTTGGGGCAAGATCGGCCCTCAGAAACAACTTGTCACTGAGCAGCTTTACATCCACGCTAAGTGCATGGTTGTCGATGACCGAGCTGCAATCATTGGGTCTGCGAACATCAATGAACGGTCCATGCTGGGATCGCGAGACTCAGAGGTAGCAGCTGTTGTGCGTGATACGGACATGATCTGGTCCAGCATGAATGGTCGCCCTTACCTCGTCGGACGGTTCCCCCACACTCTAAGAATGCGCCTCATGAGGGAGCATCTTGGCATTGATGTAGATGAGCTCATGGAGCATTCCATGGCGACAGAAGAAGAATTGCGAAGGATTCAGATTGCTGAGGAGGGTTCTAAGTCACC